CTGCTCTCTCTCTCTCTCCCCCCCCCCCCCCCCCAATTCTTAATTTTCTTCTGATTTCCTGACTGCAGTCCCTATTTCTATAAATGTTTTATTCCAGATGTGAGAATTATTTTACTATTTCTATTTCTTAATTGTCTAGGTTGAACTTGTGAAGTTCCTCGGTGGTCATTATTGTTGTTCTCTTTATGTTCAATATTAAGCCTGCCTTTGCACTTTCTTCTTTGGTCTTTCTTAGTAGGTGTTCCAGGTTTGTGAGGTTTCTGCTAATGTTATGGTGTCATCTGCATATCTTAGATTGTTGATATTCCTTCCTCCTATTTTCACTCCTCCTTCTTCTGTGTCCAAGCCTGCTTTTCTTATAATATGTTCTGCATACAAAATGAACAGATAGAGTGAAAGGATGCAGCCTTGGCCCCAAAAACAGAAACTCCCCTTCTTCTATCTCTGCAGAGATAGAGAAGCAAGAGGAAACAAAACTATTCCTAAACAGGAATTTACATTTATTGTATAAGGCTGCTCAGGAAGTCTTTCCTACCACTAACTAAGAAAGTTTTTATTTGTTTGTTTATTTGTTTGATTTTACAGAGAGAGTTTGCCACAGGATGGGAGATCACCTGGAGATGGGTGTGTTATAGTTCCTTCATCACAAGATTTTTTTTTAATGAATAGTTAGTTTTAAAAAGAGAGAAAGTTACCAGTCAGTGCAAATAGCACATATTTTGTAAGCCAATGGGTCCAGGTTCCATCCCTGGGATATTCAGGTAGTGCTCAGAAAGATCCCATCTAAAACCCAGCTAGATGAATCAGTCACCTGACATGTTACGAGGTGGCTTCCTTCATGTCTCTGTGTGCATGTGCTTTCAAGTAGCCTTATGGTGACTCAGTTAATTCCATAGGGTTTTCTTAAGTAAGGAATACTCAGAGGTGGTTTTGATAATTCCTTCCTCTGAAATATAGCCTACAGCACCAATTATTTTCTGGCAGTGCCATGTCCAAGAACTAACAAGGGCTAACCTTGCTTAGCTTTCAATATCAGGCAGGATCTGGTGCCTTCAGGGAATTTGTGTGTCCGTGTGTGTGTGTGTGTGTGTGTGTGTGTCCCTTTAAGTCACCTATCAGCTTATAGAAACCCCATAAATATCATAGATTTTTCTTAAGCAAGGAATACTTGGTTAAATGCCTTCAAATTGACTTTGACTCATTACAACCCTTTGAATGAGACACCTCCAAAACCTCCTATCCTGAACTGCTCTGCCCAGATCCTTCAGGCTCAGGGCTGTGGTCTCCTTGAATGAGTCTATCCATCTGGTATGTAGTCTTTCTCTCTTTCTACTGCTCTCCACCTTCCCTAGCATTATTGTCTTTTCTAGTGAATCATGTCTTCTCATGATGTGGCCAATGTATGGCAACCACAATTTAGTAACTTTGGCTTCCAGGAAGAGTTCAGGCTTGATCTGTTCTAGAACTCATTTGTTTGTCTTTTTGGTAATCCACAGTAACCTTAGCATTCTTCTCCAGCACCACATTTCAAATTACTAGATTTTCTTTCCATCAGCTTTCCTTATTACCTCAGACAAAATCAAACAGCAGCATTCTCTCAGACTAATATTGACCCTTCTGCAACCCAAAGACAATAACTTTCTTTACTTGGGTTCCTCCTGTATATCCCCCCCTTCTTTCTCACATTGATTTAGTAACAGAACTGTGATATTTAGAGACTGTCCAAATTCTGGTCATCCAGGGACAAAAGCTAGTTTTCCCTTGATTTTAATGCACAAAAAATGTGATTTATTGACACAAACTGGCTGTACAACAGTGGTGCTTAGGAATTCACTAGCACATTCAGAGGACTGTGATGTTCACATCAGACATCTTTCCATTAGCACCATTTTTCTAGCCAGCTTACAGTCTGCAACAATAAAGATCACATTACCAGATTAAGATCAGAGTTGTCAGAGTGAATGGAATGAATATTTTGATAAAGCATGAATGCCTAGAAGCACATAGAATCCCCTTGAGATGAGATTACTATATGCTATCTGTCAAATGTGATTAAAATTCCTGATTAAATTATTTTCTTCTTTCACAAATGATTATCCCAAGATATTCATATCCATTCTTATAAATCACAAGTTATAATTCACATGTCTCATTGCCTCAGTGCTCCTCACCTTATTCAAATTCATCCCTTCAAGGTTCTTTCTGGCTGCTGGTGTTTCAAAAGTGAATGCAACACAATGGTTGAGGTCTTCCCTCAGAATGGCACATGTGCAGTTATGCATTAATTGTGCTAGGCAACATTTATGTTGAATGGCAAAGCTGTGCAACTCAACCAAAACTCCAAAATGTGGAACTAAATGCACAACTCTATGCACACACACACACAATTATGAACAATGTGCAATCTACATTCATGTGTAATGTGTATCCATGGTCAATGCACATGATCAGCCAAGCTCATGTGCATTCATGCACAATCCCACCACCTGGATTCTTTTTGTATGCAATTTATGGATTTTCTTTATATGCAATTTGAATCAAAATCACACTTTTTAACCAGACACATGGGGATAGTAGGGGAAGACATTGAAGAAAAGCTAAGGAGAGGAAAGAAGTGGAGGAAAGGGAGTTGCAAGAGGAAGGATAGATGTTGTGATACACTTGGTGCTTGAAACAACACACACACACAGCCTTTGCAGTCTGAGGCAAGCAGTAAAAGTCATAAATGTATCAAGACCCTGCCCAGTCCAATCTATCATAGTTTGGACATGTTATTTTTGGACTACCAGCTATTCTGGCTAAGGGCCATGCCAGCTATTCTGACTAAGGGCTATGCTGGCTAAAGGATTCTGGGTTGTTGTTGTTGTTGTTGTTGTTGTGTGCCTTCAAGTCATTTCTGATTTATGGTGACCTTAAGGTGACCCCATCATAGGTGTTTCTTAGTAAGATTTGTTCAGAGTGGGTTAGCCAGTGCCTTCCTCTGGGGCTGAAAGTATGTGACTTGCCTGAGAGCACCTAGTGGGTTTCTATGACCTTGGGATTTGAACCTTGGTCTCCAGAGTCCTAGTCCAACACTGAAACCACTACACCACATAATAATAATAATAATAATAATAATAATAATAATAATAAGCAGCAGCTATGGGCTATGGTTTAAAAATAACTTTCCTAAGCTAAGTACTGCACATAACTGATGACTTGCTAATAGACAGTGGCCATGGAGATTCTGAAGTAATGTGTGTATGTGCACTGTTAGTACCCCCTGCATACTCCACATTATATATGGGGCTCTATATTTTCATATTTATCTGGAGCCAGGCATGTCCTTAAGAGGTCATGATGACCTTTGGAATACCAGATAAATTTCCCATGGGAAGGATACAGAGATATGCAAAAGGATGCAGGTAAGACGAGACAAAGGCTAAATAGCTGTGCTGATCTCTCCTTCCTCTCCCAAGGCTTCTACATATACTCTTGCACTGAGAGACAAAGAAAGTCTCATTGCACCAAAGGTAGTAAGCCAGTTCTTCCTACATAATCCTAGCCATGCTCCAGCCAACTTCCCTATCCATCAAACCTGGGGTTGTCCTACTCCAATTACTATTTTTGTAACTCTGAAATTAAAGCTATCAATTGGTCCAGAATCCCATTGTTGATTCTGGGAAGATCATCAAGTTTGTGTTACTTTGCAAGATAGCTCACCCCTTGAGGCTAGAATCCCCAGTATAAATATCAGTCCCAAACCTAACCTCTTTTTGCACACAATCACACACAGCTCCTGTCTGTGCACTGTATATTAACTGTTGCCCTCAGATCCCAGTTTGAGCCACTTCCTGCTTTCTGTGGTCTACTCTTCAGACAGGTAAATATTGCTTTCTCTCCACCCCTTACTCTGCCATCCAGTTTCCAAACCACCTTTGGGTAAACTCTAAATGCTTTGTCATTTGAATTACAATTGTGTGTTTGGTTTCATATTTCTAAATAAAACATTCTTAATTCACCCCAAACATGGAGTTCTCCTCAGTTAGCACTGGTATAAACAGGTGGAAATGATCCCTAAGTTATCCAGTCTCTCATAAGATTCCCTGAGCTAAATTCCCCAACCTTTATAAAAGAAGCTGATACAGTTGGTGGCAAACCCCAGTTCCTCCCCACTTTGGGTAACAGTACATATACCTAAATGTATGTGTGTGTATTTCCTTGAACAACCCATATCTGCTGCCTTTATAACAGCAATGCAATCTTGGCAAATTCACAAAAAATTTGCCCTGTACAAAACATAAGCAATTTGCCTCTTAATCTTTGGTACAATTGTTGGAGCACAGGGAACTTTCCTTTTCAATTGGCATGCCCAGCAAGCCATCCCCTCATCATAGCAGCTGGATTAAATATCTTAAAAGATGTCCAGAGATCTCTACCTATGATGTTTTTTTTTTCCACCAGCATGGATTCACAACAGGGCCTGTGGACTCCATGAATGAAAATGTGACTTGTAGAATAATTGGAACCGCATTGTGTAGCCCTATCTTACCTTTGCCTTAACAATGAATTCCTAATTAACTAGCAACATTAACATTTGACACTTTTCTCAAATAGCAATAAGAACGATCTTGCCAATGGTCTTATTATATTGTCAAAATGTCATTTCACAGCAATATATCCCCCATTTGATTTATTTTTCATTTATGTTGTGTCAAATGACTTTGTTTTGCATCTCTCCCACTGTTATCTAAAACGACAAGGTGGACAGGGTAATATTTTTTAGTATCTCACATAAAATGTAGTCACCCTTGGCATCCCATTAACATTAATAGTACTTGTTAGGAGTGATTTCTATGTGCAGTGCGATAACCTCCTTCTACAAACATTGATATTTGTTATTCTTACTTTATCCCCCCTCCCAGCTTCCATATGCCCGCAAAGTGACTGTGCTTGTTTATGACTTGCTCTCTTTTGCATTTCAGCATTCAGATTACACATGGCTATGATGTTCTCTGAGAGCCACCCTGGTGTAGTGGTCTGAACATTAGACTATGACTCTGGAGATTGGGGTTCAAATCCCTGCTCAGCCATGGAAACCCACTGGGTGATCTTGGGCAAGTCACAGTCTCTCAGGCTCAGAGGAACGCATTGGCCTCACCAAGAACAAACTGTGCCAAGAAAACCCCATGACAGGTTCACCTTAGAGCTGGCAATTACTTGACATCACATTGTAACAACATGATGTTCTCTACAAATTTAACTGATAGTCTACATCTAGAATTGCTAGGTCAGCACTACCTTAGGCTCTAAGATTTCCAGACCAACACTTGAGACCTAGAGAAAAAGTCC